GGACGCTGAGTGTGTTATCCAGGGAACTGGAAGAAATCTTCACTCATTCATCTACCCACTTATTTATTCATGCATACCACAAATACCTATTAATAGCTATGTCTGTCCTTTTTTTGACCTCTGTGTGTTGGACTTCCGCTCAGAACTAACAGCCAGGCCTACCTCTGGAGCATCCTGCTTAACAACTCTCATGGTCCCTTGTTCTGCTGTGAATACTGGGCTCATGTCTCATGACCATAGACTCTCTAAGCTTGTCTTCCTCAATTACACATAATTCACTCTAATTTCAACCTAGAACATTTTGCTTGTACTCTAACAGTCTCTTAAAGTTATATTTTCCATGTCTCAGGTTCAGGTTCTTGTGCTATTCAACATAAAAAAATGAACTACTTTGATAAACTGTTATGAAAAGACATGAAAAAGTTAGAGCATATTATTCATACCACCTATATATTACAAGGACTTAACTTACTAAGTGTTGGGCATTGTAGGAGGCTTCATGGATGTCATCAGTGAACCAGGTATAAGTAATCTTCATAAATATTAAAGCCTAGAATGGAAGAGAGTAAAGTAAATTGACAATTAAAATGCCATGTGGTGATAATTTCTGTGGCAGTGGAAAAATACAGGCTGTGGACCTGATGCACACCTGACTGATTCAGGCATGGCTCCCGGGAAGGAACAATGTCTTATTCAAGAGAAAGGCACAGAAGAAAAATCAGCATTCCAGTCTGAAGGGAGTGCACCATACTCTGATGAGAGAGGCCATGCCTTGTTCATGGTAACAGGCAATATGGCGGGTGGTCGGAGAGTGGACAGCCAGTGAGAACAGGCCAGGTGTTAGGTGTATAGGACCCAGACTACAAGTGGCTTTATAAATTATAACAGGGAAGCAATTTTATCCAAAGACCATTAGTGAGTTGTTCAAGGGTTTTAGACAGGACAGAGACATTGTCAAGTTTGGTTTTATAAGGCCGATTTTGGCGAAGCACAAATAATGAGGTGGAAGGAGGGCAATACGGGACACAGTCCATCCAGTTAGAAGGAGTTTGCAGTGATTTGGGCGAACAGTGAAATGGCTTGAGACAGAACACGGAGGAAGTTGGCAATGACTTTCATGGGTCCATTTATGAGTTTGTGCAGTAAATACACATTGATGCTGTGCAGGCTTGTGCTATGTGCTGGAGCTTAATTGGGAAACAGAAAAGGCTGCTTCTAGCTCCCAATGGGAGCTCCTGACTGTTTGAAGGTAATGCTCAGAATGTGCCAAGGCGTTGCAGGGCAGGAATCTGACTGGGACATGGAAAAGCCAGCTGAAAGGCAAGTGAAATACATAAAAGGCAAACTCAGAGGAGAACCCATTATCCAACGTTTACTGAGTGCCTAAAACTCCTCACAGTATTGTTGGAGGTCATGGAGTATACAGCAGGTGACAAATCGTGTTCAGCAGGTTGACCCACCAGACAAATGACTCTCTGATGGAGAGCCCCACTTGGCAAGGCCGTGGGGTCACTGACTGTAAATGACTGGTTGCTTCTATCTGTAATTTTTCTCATGTGTCACTATATTTCTTCCCTGAAAACAGCTATGGGTATTCTCCCCACTGCTTGTAGTTTATCTAGTGAATATGTTCTATCTACTGGGCACATGTATAGCTGTGGATGGTCAGGAAGATGATTTCTACTTAAGCTGTATAATTTTGATGAATAGAATGCACTAGAATATGCTTTATAACTAGATCTTATGGTGATATTTTATTTGTATTAAAATGTTATTTGTATGTTAATAAATAAAGTTGCCCGGGGGTCAGAGCTATTAGCAAGCCATAGGAAAGCAGGGCAGTGGTAGCGTATGCTTGTAATTCCAGCACTTAGTAGGCAGAGCTGGGTAAGTCTCTGTGTGTTCAGGGATACAGCCATTATTGGATACACATGCCTTTAATCTTAATACCAATCATGGAAAACCTGGAGGCCTATACAGACAGGCTGTGAGGAGGCGGTCATGTGGTTGGGTTTACAACCAATGAGAAGGCAGGACAGGAACTCTATATAAAGACTTTAACACAGGGGTAGCTCTGGTTCGGAGAGGTAGGACCACTGCAGGAGGAAGGGTAAGGTTTTGGCTCTTGGCTCTGACCTCTTGGCTTTCTTCTTTGCATTGGTTCTGTGTTTATTGTTTGATGGGAAGGTTGGATACATCTACAAGATCTATTATTCCACAAAGACTATTAGACACTTAGAAGCCTACTGTATTTCTTTAACTCAGACTAACATAAGAAAACAACCATTTCTCCCCAGTCTAAGACAAACTACACATAATTAGTTCATTTTTACCTCAGTGCAAGTTCAAACTGGACTGAGTGTCTCTGTGATTGGATCATAAGCTAAAACTTTACAGATATGCACAAGGACAGAGTTGCAGATGTATAACCAAGGTTATTAGCACAAAACAACCTAAGATATTATGCCAATTCTTCACTTGCTAAATTGGACTGATAAAGACCTGACTTTCTGTGCAGATCTCTCTGCACCTTATCTCATTGGGACTGTGCCACTGGCCTGGTCACAGTCTTATACCAGGAAACTTAAAACCTTGCATTGCCATGATAAATGGCTCTACCCTTATTGTTTACTCAAGGAATGTGCTATGAGCTTCAGAGGTAGCTTTGAATCTCTTCTTATGATTGAAAAAGCCTCCTATAAAATATGTATGTGTGTATATGTGTGTGTGTGTGTGTGTGTGTGTGTGTGTGTGTGTGTGTGTGTGTGTAGAACAAAAGAGAACTAGAAAGAATTAGAACTTAGAAAGAATTAGAATTTAGGAAGAATTAGAGCTGTAAAGAGAATTAGAGCTGGAGCAAAAGAATAAAGAGCATGACCCAAACAGTTCATGTGTGAATTTATTCCATTCTTAAAAAATATCCCTCAGGTTTGTATGTTTTATTTTTTTTTAATGTAATTAATCTATAATACATCGCCATAATGAAGACTTCCCAGTAAATACATCTACTAACTCTTGTTTACAGAGCTGATGCACCCATCTCCATCTGTTAGCATCCATCGAGGTCAGAGTTTAACTAAATGTATTTTTTTAAATTTTAATTTATTTTGCAATACAATTCAGTTCTACATATCAGCCACGGATTCCCTTGTTCTCCCCCCCTCCCGTCCCCCTCACCTTCCCCCCAAACTCCCCCCCCCATTCCCATCTCCTCCAGGGCAAAGCCTTCCCCACAGACTGAGGTCAACCTGGTAGACTCAGTCCAGGTAGGTCTAGTCCCCTCCTCCCAGGCCGAGCCAAACAATCCTGCATAGGCCCCAGGTTTCAAACAGCCAACTCATGCAATGAGCACAAGATCTGGTCCCACTGCCTGGATGCCTCCCAAACAGATCAAGCCAATCAACTGTCTCACCCATTCGGAGGGCCTGATCCAGTGGGGACCCCTCAGCCATTGGTTCATAGTTCATGTGTTTCCATTCATTTGGCTATTTGTCCCTGTGCTTTATCCAATCTTGGTCTCAACAATTCTCGCTCATATAAACCCTCCTCATTCTCGCTAATTGGACTCCCAGAGATCCACCCGGGGCCTAGTCATGGATCTCTGCATCCAGATCCCTCAGTAGTTGGATGAGGTTTCTAGCACGACAATTAGGGTGTTTGGCCATCCCATCACCAGAGTAGGTCAGTTCGGGCTGTCTCTCGACCATTGCCAGCAGTCTGTTGTGTGGGTATCTTTGTGGATTTCTGTGGGCCTCTCTAGCACTTTGCTTCTTCCTATTCTCATGTGGTCTTCATTTACCATGGTCTCCTATTCCTTGTTCTCCCTCTCTGTTGTTGATCCAGCTGGGATCTCCCGCTCCCCCCAAGCTCTCTTTCCCTCAACCCTCGCCTTTCATTGCCCCCACTCATGTCCAAGCTGTTCATGTAGATCTCATTCCATTTCTCTGTCATTGGGCAATCCCTGTGTCTTTCTTGGGGTCCTGTTTTCCAGGTAGCCTCCCTGGTGATGTGAGTAGCAGACAAGTCATCCTTGTTTCATGTCTAGTATCCTGCTATGAGTGAGTACATACCATGTTTGTCCTATGATCCAAAATATACATATTGAACACAAGAAATCAGATAAATAAATCAAAAATTCTTAGCAGATAATTGTCTAATATCCAACATATGCATATTGAACACTAGAAATCTGGAAAACAAAAGAAAAATTCTCATGTGATAAAAATCTAATATCAAAAATATACTTATTTCATCAGATAAAAGTCTCATATCCAAAATATACATATTAAACACAAGAAATCAGATAAATAAACAAAAATTCTCATCTGATAAAGGTTGAATATTCCAAATATACACATTAAACACAAGAAATCATGTAAATAAAAAAAATCATCTGAAAAAGGTCTAATATTCAAAATATACATAAAGAACATAAGAAATCAGAAAATGAAAGCAAATTTCTTATGTGATAAAGATCAAATATCAAAAAAAAAAATATCCCTCAGATAGAAAAGTCCTAAAGTAAGTTTCACTACGCTGTGGACCTTTTCTTTTTTTATTTTAAAATTTTTATTCATTTTATTTTTTATTTGGGTAGGCATTGTCTACAGAGGTGGATGTGCCCTTGGAGACAAGAGGAGGACTGAACAAGGGTCCTCTGCAAGAGCAACAATTGCTTCTGCCAACTGAGTCATCTCTCCAGTCCCACACACTGAGTTAGGAGAAAAAAATGTGTTCATTCTCTTCCCCTTCTCTTGTAAGCAACATGTTTGTTGGTTTTCTCTTTTGCTTAGCTCTTGACCATATGTTCTGCTCAGTCCAATCCAGAGAGGTTTCTCCAAAGAAACCCCGTTGTAACGTGCTTGGGGCTGGCAACTAAACTGAATCCCAGTTTCCAACTCATTAGACAAAAATCAAACCAATACAGCAACAGGGTAGGGGTTGGGTAGAGTTCCAGACCTCCCCCTCCCTAGCTTGCCTTTTACAGCTGTATTAGTTTCATCCACCATGATGTCTTTCCCCAGATTCACTGTCAATTCTCCATAAAACCCATAGTCTACCTAGGTGTCATTGGTAACAACATTGGCTGCTGTTTCTGGGAGACACATGTAGGTCACAGCTGACCAGGTACTAGGGTTTATTTAGGCCTTTGAGGGGGCCTCCAGGAAAGGGCAGTGAGCAGAAGCCAGGGAATGGTATGCTTCAGCTACCAACTGGGGATATGACCCCACCACTGTCTTCCAGCTTGAGGTCTCAGAGACCTCAGAAGCATGAGCTGTAATGAAATCCAGTGTCTGGGTTTTCAGTTGTCCTGCATTGTGGAGGTCAGCCAGGAAGAGAGTGTGGGCAGCATTCTCCACAGAGAAGTCTCTGCAGAGGGCATCCTCACACATGACCTTCAAATGCTCCAGGCCATACTTGTCAGCAGCTGCCAGCACAGCAGCTGCCATGCTGTCCAGGTCTGGTGCCGTTCCGGTGTAAATGAAGTCCATCATTGCCTTGAAGACTTGCGGCTCCAGGTCATGGATCTCAACGCGATTCGTTTTGCTCTCCTCCATGTCATGTTCAAACATGGCTCTGAAAACTGGAGAACGAGCTGCTAAGATGGCCTTGTGAGCCTGGAATTCCTGTCCAGCTACCACCAGGTAGCAGTCTGTGAAGTGGGAACTTGCCCACAGTTCTCCTAGCTCATCTGCCAAAGTACACCTGGGAACCTGGATCCCTTGTTTTCTGTTCTGATCAGAGATGCTGAAGGAGTCCTGGATCATGCTTACTTAGCAGAGGAGGGTGAGCCCGTCATTTGGGAGAGGCCAAGGCGCAAAGGACAAGAGGAAATTTCTAAGAATGAGCTTTTTAAATCCCAGTTCGACACCTGGCATGAACCTAAAGACTCTTGGATACCACACACCGTGGATTGTCTCTCCTTCGGCGCTTAGGATCCAGAACTGGAACTTTGCCCAAACATGACTCTTTGGACAGCTAAGCAACACTAGGTAAACTGACAGATAATCTATGCTTTCTTCATCAGCTCCATTCAGGTGTACTCTCAAACACCATTTGTCATTGGCTCCTATTGAGAAAGTTGGGCTTCTAATGCTTTCCTGAATTCCCTCCAGAATGAAATGGAAGTTGCTGATGGTCCACTTGTAGAAGGAATTCTGGACGCTGATTTGTGTGTAGTCCCATCTCTGGGTTGTCTGGTCCCCTGACATTTCTCCTGGGGGTAGTTTGAAGGTTAAACTGGAAGAACTAGGAATTGTTTTCTTTTCACTTCAGTCCAAGAGGTTGGACGTGTCCCCCGGTCTTCAGTATGTGCTGAAATCCGAAGAAAAATTCTCTAATGCTAGGGAAAGAATGGACTTGCCGCCAGGTGAGGGCAAGTAGGCAAAGAGCAAGAGCTTCCTTCTTCCATGTCCTTTTATAGGCTTCCAGCAGAGGGTGTGGCCCAATTTAGGATGTGTCTTCCAGCCTTGAGATCTGGATTAAAGGTGTGTGTCTTCAGGCACTGAGATCCGGATTAGATCTTTCTTTCTTTCTTTCTTTCTTTCTTTCTTTCTTTCTTTCTTTCTTTCTTTCTTTCTTTCTTTCTTTCTTTCTTTCTTTCTTTCTTTCTTTTTTTTCCTTTCTCTCTCTCTCTCTCTCTCTCTCTCTTTCTTTCTTTTCTTTCAAAATCTGTATTTGAAGTGTATCTACCTACTTAAACTTAAGCAAAACATTTCTCAGAGTTATGCCCTCCATATTAGGATTTTAGTTAATTCCATGTCTAGTTAAGTTGAGAATCAAGAATAACCACCAAAAGTGTATTTTGCTTTCTGTGGTTTGTTTATCTTCTGTAAAATAAGGGTTTGTGTACATTCCTACAGAGCTTTTATTTACTCTTCTAGGGGTTTTACGCTGATTCCTGCCACTAACATGATCCAGGAGAGGTGTTTTCCTTACCCTGTCAGGGGTCTCAGTGTTCACAACATGGAGGTCAGGGGGTAAGAAGCAGAGCCAGGCAGGATCCTTTGAAAGTGACAGTCTTTTTTCCTGCCTTTAATTCATCCAGACTCACAGTCTCCAGGATGGCTCCACCAACTTTCATTAGAGGTCTCTCCCCTCCTCCCTCAGATAATCTTCCTTGGAAACACTCTTCCAGATTTCCAGAATGATGTGCTATGAGATGATCCTAAGTGCTGCTCAATTCCGTCATGCTTACTGCCAAGTTTCAACTTCTTAATACCTCATAATTTTCATCCTCCACTGGTGAGTTCTGTCCTCTTTAAACTTTGAACTTCCAAGCTTACTCTGCCAGGCCTTCAAAGAGAGATGTGAGGACAGTGGGTGGTATGTAAAATGAAAAAAAAATACTTTAAATAAATAAGCAAACCATTTTTAAAAAGGGGGACCACATTCTGGTTTCCAAAGTGTGCAGAAAATATTGAACAGTTACGAAAGGAGGGGTTTTGAGACTGTTCCCCTTGAATGTGATCTGTTAAATGCTCCCCACATCTATCATCTCTCTCCACTTCATCACGTCTGGAGAGACTCACTAAGCCTAGAAGACATGAAGATATCTCAGTGATTCAATCAACTCAGCAATTCCCAGCCTAGCTTTCCTGCTAGTCTGACCCCAGGGCTGTTCATCCCTCAATACAGAATACATCAACTAACTGGTTTTGATGCCTACATTTTTGTTTCCTCTTAGGAACCTTTGGCAGGTGACTAACTAGTAACATCAGGGACTCTTCTCCATGTGGGTTTGCGGTCAGAGTGGCAGATACTGCTTCCCTCAAACTCTCTGGTCCTGGGCTTACTTTGATGGGGAGACTTTTAGTGATTATGCTATTTTACTAGGATTATTGGTTTGTTTAAAACACATGTCTCACCTTAATTTCATTTTGCTAAGTGGGACCTAGTGGTTTTTTTTTTTTTTTGTAAGTGTAAAATATAATTATATCAATGTAATAACAGATAAAGTGCTGTGCTCCAATCAGGTCTTTCCTCCAAATACATTGTACTAACAGCCTGAAAATAAGTATAATTCAGAAGTTTCAGTGATAAGATTTTACATTAATGCACAATGTAACTGAATGGAATTATCTTTTTTAAATAATTTTTTTATTAAGAGATTTTCTATTCATTTTACATACCAACCACAGATTCCCCTATCCTCCCTCCTCCCACCCCCCAACCTTCCCCCCACAACCCACCCTCCCATTCCCACCTTCTCCAATGCAAGGTCTCCTGTGGGGAGTCAGCAGAGTCTGGAATATTCACTTGAGGCAGGTCCAATCCCCTCCTCCCTGCACCAAGGCTGCACAAAGTGCCTCACCATAGACACTAGGTTCCAAAAAGCTGGCTCATGCACTAGGGACAGGTCCCAGTCCCACTGCCTGGGGGTCCCCTAAACAGCTCAAGCTAAACAACTGTCTCACCTATCCAGAGGACCTAGTCCAGTACCATGGGGGCTCCTCAGCTATTGGTCCACTGTTCATGTGTTTCCACTAGCTTGGCTAGTTGTCTCTGTACTTTTTCCAGTCATGGTCTTCATGGGCTACATTACATAAGGAACAAGGAGCAACAGAAAAAGAGAAGTCCGCAGTTTACAGTGCTTACATTCAGTGGAAAGTCTCATTACTCATCTTGACTCATGACAGTCAACAGGAGGTTAGGGTCAGAGATGACAACAAAAATGTGAAATAAACCAGTGTTCAGACAACTTGGGAAGAGAAGTAAGCTTCAGAAGAAGTGATGAACTCAGTTGTATAAAGACTGAGAGTATTATCCTAAAAGACGTCAAGCAAGGAAGCTTCAGTGACTAATACTACGTTGTGACACACTCCTGTACCCTGAACAGAGATTGCTTAAGGTCAAAGACTGACCCCTACATGCATGAACTCCATTACTTTAGACAATTTTTTTTCTTAGACAAGAGATTCACTTTATAGTATTTTTTAAGAGGATTTATGTAGCCCAGGATGGCTTTGAACATCTGTTTTCCCTGCCCAGATGTCTTGAATGCTGGGTTTACAAGGATGCACCGCCATGATGCAGTACTGGGGTTCAGACCCAGGACTTCATGCATGCTAGGCAATCACTGTATTAACTGAGCTATATCTTCAGCTGGGACAAATTATTTTACCTCCATGTACCTTAGTTTTGCCTCCTGTGTAAAGGTGATGATATTATCTATATTTGTAGGTTTGCTATGAGAATAAGATGAGCTAATACACACATTAAGTGCTTAGAAACAAATTCCTAAGAAAGTTTATCTATTGTTGCATTTGGAACAAGGGGGCATTTTTGGTAATCTTGTATTCATTGTGTAAGTGGAAAGTACACAAAAGTGTCACATCTTTGACATAACTATCATTGTAGATGTTGTAGACATATGCATATTTATCACAAAGTTATCTGGAAGAAGTTAAGGAAGGAATAGCTTCAGTAGTTTTTACTAAGGTAAATAAATGGGAAGTGAGTGATGGAGGAAACAGAGTCACTGTGTATGGAGGAGAGAAGGTGTTTAATTGTGAAGAGGTGAGGTGTCAGGAGAACTGGACAGAGATGAAGAATTGAACATTTTTCCACTTTATTTAAAGCAATAAAGAAATGAGTAACTTCAAATGTTGATTACAATAAAGAAAAAATAGTAAAAGCTACCAAGTTTATGGAGTAGGCTGAGGAAAATGGATAAAAATACCTTTCTAAAGTCTGGGAGAAGGTTGGTTGGGACATAGGATTTCAGAATTAAATTTTTAGTATGGGAAACTCACAATTTAACTGCTTCTACTAGAGCAGGAATTTCAGTCCCATTAAAAGGAAATAAAATATATGTGGGAAGAATCTGGCGGCTCTTCAAGCATTTAATTGTAAGTGGTCACCTGGTCTTTGTAAATTGAGCTGTAGCTAACTTTTGTCCATCGCAAGCAGGCTCTTTCATGCAATGGTGCTATCTCATGGGCTGGACTACACACTGAGAATACTATGCATTGTTGCAGATATGGGATTGTGAGCTTTAAGTCTTTTGTAGAATTCTCTTGGCATTCCACTGCACGTTGTTGGTTCCTACTATTGTTTTGTTCTTATAACCATAAGTAAAATAGTAACTGGCTTCCTTTCCCCACATCATCACAAGAACTGAATCCAGATACATCTGTTTTATGATTTCTAATGTGCTATTTCAGTCACTCTCTAGTATCTTCTTAAAAGTGGAAAAATGATATGACTCACAATCTTTCTTCAATCATCAAAAATCTATTTTTCTGTCATTTCCCAGCATGTGCAATTTTAAGGCATATGTATATGTGTCTGTGAGTGATTAAAGCTTTTTCAAGTTCCTTTCCACAAAATGAGGACTTATTGTGAAAGGTAGATTCCTTATATGCATTTAAAATCTCCATTACTTCTTTCAGCCATTTGGGTACCATTTATGAAAACAGAACATATTTTAATTATGAGTCCATCTTTTTTTTAATATAGTTAAATGAAGTAGTTATAGGGGGAGTGAATCTGGGGGAAGAGGGGAGGTGGTGGGAACTAGGAGGAGTGGAGGAAGGGAAAACTGTGTTTGGGATGTATTGTATGAGAGAAGAATCTATATTTTCAATAAAAAATAAAAAGAAATAGTTATAAATAGAATTGACAACTTCACCTTGATAATCTTAGATTTAAAATACAGAATCAAAACTATGTGGTGTCACATACCTGTAACTACAAGGACTTAGAAAGCCGAGGCAGGAGGATTGTGAGATCAAGGCCAGTCTGAACTATAGCAAGATCCTGAAAAGAGAGAAAGAAAGGAAGGAAGGAAGGAAGAGAGAAGAGAAAGAAAGGAAAAAGAAAGAAAAGAAGGAAGGATGGTTTAGTGGAATGTGTATCAGTCTGTGAAGAGTTTTTAATGGAGCCTTTGCTTTAATGTTAAAACTGAGGCAGAGAATGACTAGGTGACATTAGCTAGGTCACTTAAGGTTAGCAGCATCTCGATTAAAATACTGTGGCATGTAGAAAGATGTTTTTAAAGTATGTCATTCTAATCCATTTAAAAGTGAAAACATATGCAATACACACATATGCTGGATCGTACAATGCCTATTATTAGACTCAGTTCTTGAAGTTTCCTCTAAGCAAACTGGAGTTACTTACATCCATTGGCGATGTCTGAGAATTGACAACACAAATACTTCTGGAGAAGTCATTCAAAGTGGAGTGACTTACATCCATTGGTAATGTCTAAGAACTGATGACACAAATACTTCTGGAGAAGTCATTCAAAGTGGAGTGACTTACATCCATTGGTAATGTCTGAGAATTGATGACACAAATACTTCTGGAGAAGTCATTCAGGGTGGCCAAAAATCTTTCTTGCTCCTTTTGAAATTTCACTCTAATCAATGACTTTGCAGTTCTTTTATTTTCCTGAAACAATATGATGTGCTATAATAAGAATTCAATCTGTTTGATATTATTGCGTAGGAATATTCATCAGACTTGTAAGCTTAGACACGATTAGGTCTATTCTCTTCAGAGCCTTTCACACTGCTCCTTCCTATGAACTCATTCCTGGGAGAGCTTTGTCCGCTAGAAATGCCCTTAAATTCTACAGACTTAAAACAGCTGCTTACATTATTCATCCACTCATTTTATCAACAGGAATCATGTTCTCTGTCTTATTTTCTCTCCCATTACTTTGGTTATTATTGAGCTCCTGGGGCAGTGTGCATGCATAATTTTGCTTTTGTTGCCATGATTTGTTGCCTCAGTAGGCACCTATAATGTTTAGATATACTTAAATTCCTTACACTGAAATAGTATAGTCAGTTGGGGTGGGCCATGCCTATAACTCAGCAATCAGGAGGCTGAAGCAGGAGGACTACCTTCAGTTCAAGACCAGCATGAACTATGCAGTGATTACCAGGATAGGCAGGGATGCATAGCAAAACTCTCTTGAAAACATTAGTCTTGGAAACATGATATTAGGGTGTGTCTCTTACAAGTGAGACGTATCTAGTGAATTCACATCTCTGTGATGAGGAGGACGGAAGAGGAAGTTGTATTTTCGCATTTCTCCTTTGAAAATAAGTATGATTGGATCTGAATTTTAAAACTGAGTGTGCAGTAAAATTTCAAAGGCAATAGTAGAAATTCAAAGTGTAAACAATATAAATTTTTGTAAAATGGGAGCACTTTGAAAACAAAATGAGTGTAGAACTCATGGTTTTTGCCACGATTGTTCAAAACATTGTTATATTCCTTGATGTAAAAGA